CCCACAGGTGTTTAGGGGATGGGGACACAGTGAGCTGGAGGAAGGGCAGGCTTCCATCCCAGCTTACCACCGAGCAGGAAATAGAGCTCGGGGGTAACAAGCACCTGTTAGTTACAGGGCAGATGGGACGACGGTCACTCACTTTCACAGGCTATTTAAAACTGTGCCCAGGAAAAGCAAAGCAGGAGCTAGTGGTGGAAACCAAGCTCAGGCCTTATCTGAGCGGCTGGACCACGTGTGTGCAGGGTTCTCCTGCTGCCAGACGCCCGGGCGGCAGCTCGGGACAGCTGTTTGCTCATCGCGGGGCTGGGTGCTGTTCACAGGAGTCATGCCAACTTTGGAACGTGGCTATTTCACGATGGCTTCCCTGACTATACTTTCTATTTCTCAGACATTGCTCGCTGAATTAATAATGAGAATGGTATCACATTTTATTTTTATTCCTCATTTATTATGTGGTAGTTCATATGTCCATGTACTTTATCGATCACGATGCTTCCTGTCTTTTAAATGTTCTGTCTGTGTCCTTTGCCCACTTGCCATTGGGAATCTAAATATTTTTCTTATCAATTTTGTAAGTTTTGGATGAGTAGTCTCCTTTATGATATTCTCCTTGAATATTTTTATTCACGTCATTACTTCAACATAAAGAAATTTAGGAGTTTTGTATAGAAAAGGCTGTTGATTTCTTTGTGATATTTTTTCCCTTTCCTAATTAAAAAAAAAAAAAAGTCTCCCAGAGATTGAGCAATACATTTAAATTCTGCTGGCTCTAAGACTTCCTTTTTTTTTTTTTTAATGTTCTCTTTTTTAGTTTGCTGTGTAGGTGTTCTCACATGAAGTGATGTCAAAAGTAGGCTGTTTGCCAGTCTCCCCAGCATTCTTTATTAAGTCTTCCCCCTGCCCTTTGGTTTATGACGTCTTTTCTTCCTCCTGAAGTTGACAGTGTTTGGGAGTTTCTATGTGGTATGCACTGTGCAAAGCACATTACGTGAATTGTCTCATTTTGCCCTCTCTCCTCACAACAACCCTCTGAGGAAACGGGAGTCCCTACGACCCTTCTGTGCGCTGTGCTCTGACTGCACTTGCACTTCTATACTGTGCCTCTCTTCCTATTTTATGTTCCTACTCTTCTGTCTTACAAGTGTTTTCCTCCACAGAACATGTAAAATACCTCTACTGGTTCTTCCTTTTTTCTACCCTTGCCTATTTATTTTTCCAGATGAATTGAAGTGTTTCATGTCGTTGTCCAAAAAGAATCTCACTGGGATATATTTGTCCATGGGTTACACTGGAAATGATCGCGTTTTCACAGTATCATTCAAGGTGTGTCTCCAGTACGTGGCCTTGAAGCCTGGTACGTTCCAGGTGCTGAATAAATGTCTGTTGAGTGAAAGAATAGATGAACGGAGAGATCTTTGTTTATCGTCTTCATCGAGTCTCAGCTGATACCTTGCATTAATGCTTTTTTAGCTTTTCCCCTATTTGGCCCTGCACATTTCATGCGAATGCTATTTTAGGTATTGTAGATTTGATTTGTTGCTGCTGCAGAAATGGTATCTTTTTCCTATAATTTTCTAATCGTTTGTTGCCAGCATATGAGAAAATACTTCATGTTTCCTTTTTTGTTGTTGTTGTTAGTTATTTAAGGTTATTCTTTCGAAGGCATTCCTGAGGAATCCTTTGGATAGACCATTATTTCAGTCTATTACTAGCAATAATTTTGTTTCTTATTTCCATATAATTATGTCTGTTATTCCTGTTCTGGAGTTTCCCAAATAATGTTGAAAAGATTGATGACAAACTAGGCATTGTTGGGGCGCCTGGGTGGCTCAGTGGTTAAGCATCTGACTCGGCTCAGGTCATGATCTCATGACCTCGAGCCCCACATCGGGCTCTGTGCTGACAGCCAGCTTGGAACCTGGAGCCTGTTTCAGATTCTGTATCTCCCTCTCTCTCTGATACTCCCTGCTCATGCTGTGTCTGTCTGTCTGTCTGTCTCTCTCTCTCTCTCTCTTTCTCAGAAATAAATTTTTAAAAAAACAAAAATTTACTTAAAAACTAGGCATTGTTTTGATTCTGATTTTAATAGATGTATAACTTTTAACATTTAACCATGATGTTGGCCAGTAGTTTGCTGTCATTCCTCATCTATCTCTTAAAATGCATTTCATAAGGAATAATCTTAAAAAGGATTTTGGGTTGGCTTTCATTTGACATCTTTGGTGTTGAAGGAATTTGCTGCTGCTTCCAAGCATTGTTATGGAAGATTGTTGAATAGCACATACTTGTGATCTTGTAATCTAGCCACATTTTCTTATTCTGTGGTGATAGTAAATGTTTCTCTGACTCTTCTGCTTCCCCATTCCTCTAATACATCTGAACCTAAATTCTGGAGGGTGGGAGAGCAGTGACTGAAGCCAGCACACCCTTCATTCTGTTGCCATTAGGGTGTGGAGCGTGGGTATTTCCACACGCAGGCATTTCTCAAAGCTCCGGGCTTGGGCATATCCATGTCATAATAATCCTACCAGCAGCAGCCACAACATTACTGCATAGAGGATATGGGGCGGGGCACGACACTATGATAAGGCTATCTGTGCATTCTACCATTTGATCCTCAAGAAAAATACTATGAAAAAGTTCTGCTGGTCCATTTTAGACGTGAGGAAGCCTTGACCCAGAGCAGTGGTAACGTGTCCAGAATTGCACAGCTGAGAAGTGACAGAGGCAGGCATCAGGCCTAGAACTTTCGACACCAGAGCACACACTCTTCCCCCTGTATTTTATCCCTTATTGCATTTACTTCGTATTTGTGCTCTTATTTGGATCCTCTTGACTGGTGAGAAACAAAAGTTACTTACACAATAGAATTAAGCCTTAGGGGTGGGTGAATGGACAGGTACGTATCGTATGAGCCCGGGAGGACTAATGCGTTTTGAGATGTTCATGGAGTCCGTAATACAGCAGCTCTTGTCCTAGTGGCAAGTAATGAGTCCTCCTCCATTCATGATGAAAGGAGCACAACTTCCTCAGGAGGAAGTTTATCTAATTACTTTAAGGCGAGGTAATACTTCTTTCTAAGGATTTGGAGTCTGTGTCGTCGACTTGGAATTTACTGAGCTCTTTCCTTTACGTTTTGCAGACAAGTCTGTAGATGAGTGTGACCCATAGATGCTACTAATGCCGTAATCCGTAATTTCACCTTCTTGTCACCTGTCCCCGTAGTATTTCTAAGACAGCATTGTATTTTGGCACCCTCAGAGTGAAGGACAGTTACACCTAAGGAACCTACTGGTTGTGAAACTCACTATATGTATGTTCTGAAGCCTGACACAAGGTTTCAAAACCTTGGAAAGGTTTTCAAAAACTTGCAAAGGTAACGAATTTTAAAATCATTTAGGGGACTTGTTCAAATAACCCCCTTTCTTCATAGTGAGGTTCCCTGACGTAGTGAGTCAGGTTTGCTGGGGCAGAGGAACGTTTAAGAGCCGCCGTACCAGTCAGCCTAGGAGAGGAATGGCTTTAGTGGAGGTTGACCATAGTTTTTCCATAAGTCTGGGCCTTTAAAAAAAAGAGTACACTAGAGGGTTATTACTTTTCTCTCTCCAAATAGAAAGGATCCCAAACCTGGAAAGAAGTCTCGTCTTATTTTAAAATTTCTTAGGAAGGGGCATCAAAATTTCTTTCTGGACTCTTTCCCGACTCGAGGAATTGCTTGAAATAGAGTCTTCCTTATGTCTCACGATTTAAGTCCCTCATTTGTGGCCTCTCTCAGCTATGCTCTCCTGCATTTCAAATCTAGCCTCGTTTCAGGGTTTCTTTTTCTGACTCTTGGCTGTTACTTTTGTTTGTCTCTAATTCATAAGGTGGCTTACTTTTTTGTATTTGTAGAAAATGCTCCGTTTTCTTCTAGTTGTGTCACAGCACAGCTTGATTGGGAGTGTGAAGATCGGTCTGAGGCCCAGCCCTAGTCCTGCGGTGTGTTTTATTGGGTGCGTCACCCAGTTGTGGCACCGGATGAATCCCGTCTTTTTTTTCCCTTTCTCCTTGCCTTTTTCTCTTTCTTCCTTAGTAGTGCCCAGTTTGTTAGACCCCTCCCTTTTTATCCTGAATCTAACCTTATTTTTAATTTAGGTAAATCAGATTCTGACATCCGATGTACAAAAGATAAATTTCCATCTCCTCTACATAGAAGACTTAATTTTGTGTTTAAGTTTTTCACTAATAAGGGGTCTGTTAAATATGCACTTAAACTGTCCCTTTATATATCTGTAAAGCCAAACTCGTTATTGTATTTTTAATACTTCTCTGAAATGCAAAAAACAAAGCCGTTAAACTTTCCTTATTAAAATGCGAGGCCTAGTGTCTTCTAGCTTTTTGAAGAGCTTTTGTCCATTATATAATCTGTAAAGTAGCCAAGAGTTCCTCAGAAGCAGGACATCATTTAGATTTGAAACAATTATGGCTTGTGTGTAAAATAATGATGTGGCATAACCGTTCACGGGGTAGCAGCCACGGCCACACTTTAGTGGCAAAGTCCTTGGATCCCTCCAGCGTTTCACCTACTGTACAGACCCTACAGGGCACCGCACCTCGGACAGAAACGGGTCGGTCACTTCGATTATACCGAATAGGACGTTGGTATGACTAGAAAGCCAAACGACACAGTTAGGAGCATAGACCTTTTATTTATTTTTTTCCCAGAAGTTTGACAGTGTAAACATACATAAAATACATATTAAAGTTTAGATGCTTTATTTTTTGTGCAATAAATTAAAGCCTGAAAAAGAAAACATCCCGTTAAAAAGAAAGAAACTCGTTAGTGTGACTTAATTAAGACAGTAAAATAGCAGCAGGTCCCGAGATGTTGTGCACTTCTTTTATTTAAGACAAGTTATGTCATTTACATCAGAGTCAGAAACGTAAGACTGGCTTCCTCGAATACTTATGTAGCTTGAATCACTGGTTAGATAGGGGCGTATTTTCCCAACTGTACATCGGGGGTGGGGGTGGGGAGGATGGAGGAGCTCTTTCCTTAGCTTCCGACACTGCAGCCCTCAGACGGCCAGCAGGGCCACGGCACTGAGCACTAAGAGAAACGAAGCATTTGCTTCCCAAGCACTTGCCGCAGAAGGTAAGTGACTCTTTACGTTTGTGGTGGTCTCTTCCCTCCGTAGGTTAAGGGTTGTGCTTTGCTGAGGCATTTCAGAGAAGTTACTTGGCATGCCACTAGTGATGCTCAGGGTCATGGGTGTCGGGGGTGATTTCGTTGAGCTAGTGAGGCTCGTGTCGGTCACCACTCCATCGTGGAGATGAATAGTTAGAGTTGCAGCGGCCGCTTCATGTGAGCTGATGGTTCCTACGGATGTGTCTTCGGGATAGGGCACAAAGGCCTTGTCGGTGCCGGCCAGGGCGGTGTCTCTGCCGAGAGTGGCCCCAAACGTTGTCGCTTTTGTTCGGTACTGTCTGGGAGTTTTGGTCACTTTGGATTGAGTCACCACGCTCAGAGAGTTAATGGTGTCCACTGTCTGCATCCCACTTACAGTGAACAGGCTGGAGGTGAATCCAGAAGGTGTGGGGTATATGCTCTGTTCCTTCAAAGACGATATTTGGCTAGAACAGGGGGTCCCTATCACGTGGGCTTTAGTTCCCATCATCCACCTCAGTAGGTACGTGATGTTTTGTTTGTGCTCACACGACCACCTGTTATTGTGAAGGGTTATCTCTTGCAACTGCAAGAGGTGGTCGAAAGCCTGGTCTGGAATGAACGTGAACTTATTATTGTGCAGGTAAAGGTGTGTGAGGCTGGTCAGGTTTCTCAGTGTTCCTGGAAGGATCTGTGTCAAGGAGTTGTTGGACAGGTCCACGACGTGCAGTCGGGAGGGCATGTTGGTTGGAACTGTCCACAGTTTGTTACTGCTGAGGTTGAGGACCTCAAGACTTCTCAGCGTATTTTTAATGAGAACAACCTTCTCTAGCATATTCTTAGAAACATCCAGATACTTAAGGTTCCACTGATAAGCAGTATCCGATTTGTCAAGCAGTTTAATGTTGTTGTTAGCAGCAGACATGTTCCAGAGGGACCGAGGTAACTGAGCCGGCAGGCTCTCGAGCCTGTTGTGTGAAATATCCAGGGTCCTCAGATTGGTGTACTGGGTTAACTGGTTATGAAGATCAGTGAAATGGTTATAAGACAGGTTTAAATGGATAATATTCTCTTGCAGTCCAGATGGTAACGCAGTCAGGTTTCTGCCTGAGCAGTCCACATGCCTGTGCCTCTCTGTACATATACATTGGAGAGGGCAAACGCATAGAATGCCAGGTGTGAGACACAGAAGGATGAGCAAGCTGGGAGACATTTTCAGTATCTGATATCCCATCAATGCCTGGAAACAAACAGATACACCCTTCTTTTAATATGCAAACACAATTAGGCATCTGCATGGGTCAGTTAGCATTAGGCAAAATTTTCAATAAACCTCGTTGTTGTTGAGTCCTTTTATAATTGTTCCAGTGATTAAACTAACAAAGCTCCCCTTCATTTATAGTCCAAATGCTTAATCCTTCAGTTGGGGCTGTGTGGCAGAGAGGGACTCTCTCCCCCTACTCGCTGCTGTGTTTTCTACCTTCCTTTCTCCCCTTCTTTTCCCATAATTTGTCTTATTTATCTTCCCGGAGCCTTAATATTACAAAATGGCATTCTCTGCCACTAAAGAGTCAGAATCTTAAGCTATTACTGATTTTGAGACTATCCCTTCTTACTCAGATAGGGAAAAATGGCTGTCGTGTCTGGGGTGGTTTTTTGTTGTTGTTGTTGTTTTTTAAATCTCTGCAGTAATGTAATAGTCAATGTTGTGTATAGAGTAAAATTCGACTTCGATATGAAAACAATACTTTGAAATTCATCTTTGCCTCTTTGGGATAAACATATCCCTGCAGAACATTTTAAGGCACTTGAAAAATTCAGACCAATACCATAATTTAAACCTCCCATTTTATAGTGATGTTTTTCTCCTGTATATTTCGGTGCCGATTCTAAAAGAAAGCAACGGGTCCATTTACAAAGTGAATGAATATCGCACAGACCCCTCCACTGACACTGCAGCAAACCTCTGGTGCATGCACTTGCCGGCCACCGAATGTGTATTCAGTCCTCACGTTGACTTTTTCTTTAACAAAAAAAAAAAAAGGAAGCCGATTCCCAAGCCAGTCTTTTACTGATCGAAATCACAGCTTACCAGAGTGTCGTCTTCAGCAGCAGCATCTCCTTTTCCCGGGGCGCTTGGGCTCAGAGGTCGCCTTGCTGGGGAGAGCGGGAGCCGCTTCTGGCCGTGGGCTGCGCTGGCCTGCTCAGCTGCATTGTGCGGCGGGGAACGCAGCGCTGCAGCCGCCTGATCCGTCCACACAGGACGACTGCAGAGCTGTCATTGGTGCTGACTCAAATCTAGTGCAAGAGGTGCACGCGCGACAAAATGGACCCCCCCCCTTTTTTTTTTTAACTCACAGCATCAAGCCTGCCTACATACCTCTGCTTTGCCAGAGGATGTGGTGCCCCATGCCCATTAGCCCTGGCCCTCCCCCTCCCGTTTATGTGTGTTTGAGCTCAGGTTCCACATTCTGACACTGGCTCATGAAGAAGAGGGGTTCTTTCTTAAAGCCTCTACTCCTTACTCTTCTTCCATGCTCAGAGGTGTTGAAAACGAATGTGACCGCCCTTTTCTAAGAGGTTAATTTAACTATTTGTAACTCCTGCCTTTTCACGTTCTTCTAAAATGGTTTGGGTGTCCTGTCACTTTTTAAAATGACACAATACAGTCTGCTTCGTTTTGGCATGCTCCCCCAGCAGGGTGATTATTCTGTATAGTCAGCTTTTCAGATTTATCACCCATCACCCACTTAAATCCTCCTTCTTCGGAAGTCCCGAATTACTTACATATGGTTATTTTGTCTCTGTCTTTCTGGTACAAAGGATCATTTAACCCAGACTACAGTCAAGACTGCAGTTTTGAATGAGCATCTCATGTTTTTAATTAAATTCATATTGAGCAAATAAACATGTTTTATCTTCTGTGTTTTAGTTGAAGGATTTGTTTTTCCTCTGTGCAACTCACTTCTTTTAGTGACTGGGTATATGTATTGTACTGTCCTGAGACATCTTCAATACTGTAGGAGTGGCCATTTATTTGATTTTGTGTTTTAAAAATAATGGTATCAATTTTAGGTGATTTCTTCAGAATGTTTCGCATTCTGTCTTACTGACAAAGCAGTTTATAGTTTTAAAATTGCACTGGGTTGCCTGGGTGGCTCAGGTGGTTGAGCGTCCAACTTCAGCTCTGGTCTTGACCTCACAGTTCATGAGTTCGAGCTCCGCATTGGTCTCTGTGAGTTCAAGCCCCGCGTTGGGCTCTGTGCTGACAGCTCAGAGCCTGGAGCCTGCTTCAGATTCTGTGTCTCCCTCTCTCTGCCCCTCTCCTGCTTGTGCTCTGTCTCTCTCAAAAATACATAAACATTAAAAAAAAATGTTTTAAACAAAATTGCACAAAATAATGTCATAGGCAAAACTTTGGTCATGAGTTTTATAGAATGTGACTAGATTTATAACAGCTTCTGCTTCACTTTTCAGTGGATTGATTATATAAATCATCTTTTAAAGCTGAAATCTAATTTCCAGAATATCCAGTTTACCTTAGAAAAGAAAGCAAATAAAGCTATGGAATTTTCATTACCAAATTATCACTGTTTAAAAACCAATTATTAGCACATTACGTGTAACGTTATGCCTTGTTGTTAAGCGTTTGTTTGTCTCTAAATTATATTTGCCATTACTTTGCCCCAGATTTTACCCCAATGAGAATTTATTGTATTGAAATTTGAAGTTTATTTTCTTAGAAAAGAACTATACTCTTAAGAGTCGCCTTTTGTATAAAGTTCACGTTCCTCAAAAAATACCTGTATTTTAAAAGTGTGCAGTGTTAGAGGTTTATTATTGATTAGTGCTTTATTCCTGCTTGACTTGGAGAGTTCACCCTTGGACTCTTAGTAACATTCTGTCTATGGATTTCAGAAACCAGGCATCCATCTTCGTGCTTAAAGATAATGTGCCTGGGTGGCTTAGTCGGTTAAGCGTCTGACTTTCGCTTAGGTCTTGATCTCGCTGTTCGTGGGTTCGAGCCCCGTGTCGGGCTCTGTGCTGACTGCCAGCTCAGAGCCTGGAGCCTGTTTCAGTCTGTGACTCCCTCTCTCTCTGACCCTCCCCTGCTCACACTGTCTCTCTTTCTCCTAGAAATAAATAAAAAATAAATAAATAAATAAATAAATAAATACATAAATAAATAAATAAAAAAGATAATGTGTTAAAAGTACTACATTCAGCAATATTGTTGTGGAACTAGAGAATGGTTGTTTTGACATTTAGACTTCTTATATTTTAGCTCCTGTATATACTGTTACACTTCAAGGGATGAGACTGAGGGTCACTTTACTTAAATCTCTGTCATAATTTTAGGAAGCCTCATCACATCAGTTGTGGAAGTGGAGTTACCCAGTCCCGTTATACTTCCCAGTGCTTTTTTTCTGAAACCAAGAACATGTTACTTCATTAACTTACGGATTCAAATGAATTTGGAGTTAGGCTTTACTGAGATTAGATTCTGCTTGTATACTAGAAAATTCCAGTACAGTAGTAGTGACGGTGTTTCTCATTTCAAGTTTGGGGACATACCAAGTTGCTTCCTATTCTTCAAAGATTATTATAAAATTCTCAAAAAGATAAAGGAGAAACAGTTTTAATATATTTGAATTGTAATAATCTGTCCTTATGCTTTTGGAAGTGCTCATCAAGTAAAATAATAGTATATTACTATTTCTCAAATAATAATTAGGCTTAAGTGTTTTTGTTACAGCTTATTTTAGATACGATTTCAGACAAACTGCATTTTAGATAAGTCTGTCAAGTCAGGAATTCTAGCTGTTTAAACAACTATTATATTCTAGACTAAGCAATATATTCATTTAACATATTCCTTTGTGGAACACACTGTCCTAGGGTGTGTTACCCCAGCATTGCGAAGAGGGTGGCAGATTGCCTGCCAAGGAGCAGTGGTATATTTTTTAAGTTTATTTATTTATTTTGAGAGAGACAGAGACAGTGTGAGTGGGGGAGGAGCAGAGAGAGAGTGAGCGGGAGAGAGAGAATCCCAAGCAGGCTCCACACTCTTTGCACAGCTCAGTGCCGGGCTTGAACTCACGAACCATGAGATCATGACCTGAGCAGAAACCAGGAGTCGAATGTTTAACTGATTGAGCCACCCAGGTGCCCCTAACAAAAATTTTTTTTTAAGTTTATTCATTTTGAGAGGGACAGAGAGAGTGAGCTAGGGAGGGGCAGAGAGAGAGGGAGAGAGAATCCCAAGTGGCTCTGCACTGTCAGTGTGGAGCCCAATATCGGGGCTCTAATTCACAAAATGCAGGATCATGACCCGAGCTGAAACCAAGAGTCAGGCGCTTCACCAATTGAGCCACCCGGGTGCCCCTGCCTTTATCTCTTATGCTCATAACATCTGTCATGCTTATTTGAGGGTAGAAGTATTACGTTTCCTGTTTTTAGTAATATAGTTGGCTATTCAGACTGAATTTTCTGCTGAAAACAATTAAGAGTACTCAACAAAGTATTTACTATCATGGATGAACTGGCAAGATAGAAATGACCAGGTTAGGTAGAGCCCATGTGGATCAGTTTCTTGCCCCACCTCCCCACCCCTTTTTTTCCCACGCCACTGCCTTGTTGCTAAAACTCAGTTGTTTGTTCGTTCCGAATTTATGTTTGCTTCCTTGTGAACATTTAATTTGTTCCTCTATCCCCCATATTTCCTATAAATGATTCCTAACAGCATTAACAAAACTGTTTATTCGTATCATCGTGCAATAGTTTGAAATAATGCCAGGATTGCTAGAGACAATGAGATTACAGACTACCGAATAAAATTTAAGATTTCTTTGCAGCTCTGTTTGCTCTCAGACTATATTTCACTAAGGATGCGTGGTCCATTCTGTGTTTGAATACAACTTGAAATAATGTCTTTTTTTCTATATCTTTATATCACCGACTTTACAGAAAGTTAGGTTCATTTGTTTCTGTTAGTTAATAGTTTTTAGGGACTGCTTAAGTCAAAGCTGTATAACAAAGTATATTCAGAGAAATCTTGCTTCTGCGTCCCCTTCATCCTATTCTATTCTTCCTCCTGTTGGTGACTATTTGTATTAACTTTTGGTTATATCTTAACAGTATCTCTTCCTTCCTTCTTTTTTTTTTTTTTTTTGTGCAGACATATTAAAATATGTATGTATTGTATGTTCTTACTCCCTTTGCTTGTATTAAGGGCTGCATACTAAATATGCTGTTACACTTCTTCTTCTTTTTTTCCTTAATACAGCTTGAAGCTCATGTCCCATCCGCATATAGAGATCTTTCACATTCATTCCCAATGCTGAGCCCTCCATTTGGGAGTGTACTTACCAGGGTTTGTTCAAGCAGCCCCTGTTATGGACATCTGCGTCGTTACCAGACTTTTGCTGTTAACAAATAATGCCGGCGAATACCCTGGCACCGAAGTAATTTCCCTAGTAATTTTGTCTAATGAATCTTTGAAAAAGATTCCTAGGAGTAGCATTGCTGGGTGAAAGGGTAAATGCGTTTAGAATTTTCCTGGAGAATACCACATTCTTCTGTGTAGTCCACAGCACGTTGCAGCCCCTCAGCAGGGTACCACGGCGCCAGTTCTCTGTCACCTCACCATATACTTCACTGTTGAACTGTTGGATTTATAGCAATCCGCTGGGAACAGTTTCTCAGGGAAACTTTAAATACATCTCTCTAATTTGAAGAAAGTCGTATAATATGTTTTTAGGAGCCATTAAAAATTTCACTTCTGTGACTGTGTTTTACATTTTGGACATTTATTTTCCTATATTGTTGTGGGTCCTTCCACCCCCCTAAATAGATTTTTTTTTAAATTCAGAAATACTAGCCCTTTGTCTTATGGTTGAAATTTTTTTCCACTTTGCCTTAGACTTTATTAGAGTGGAATTTGTTTTGTTTTATGTTTTGACAATTAAACGTTTTTCCATATAATTGGATTTCCTTTTCTTTTTATTGCTTCTGGATTTTGAGTCTCAGCTGGGAAGATTTTTTTTCTTCTAGGTTCTAAAATAATTCTCATGTTTTCTTCTGTTACTTATACAATTTCATGTTTTATATTTAGATCTCTGGTCTGTTTGCTGTTCTTTTTTTTATAATTTTTTAAATGTTTTATTTATTTCTGAGAGAGGGAGACATTGTGAGCAGGGGAGGGTCAGAGAGAGAGGGAGATACAGAAGCTGAAGCAAGCTCCAGGCTCTGAGCTAGCTGTCAGCACAGAGCCCGACGCGGGGCTCGAACCCACAAACCGTGAGATCATGACCTGAGGCGAAGTCGGACGCTTAACCGACTGAGCCACCCAGGCGCCCCTATATGCTCTTTATTCTAACGTAGCATGGAGTATGGATCCAATTTTACCTTTTCCCAAAGGTCTATCCGGTTGTCCCCATATCCTCCACTGATTTAAGAGCTGAGTCTATATCTGGACTTTTCCATTCCATTCGTCTGATCATGTATAAGTACCCCAGTGCATGATTATTATAATATTTTAATTATAGGTGCCCAAATATTTTGCTACTTTACTTTTTGATTAGGACTAGGTAATAATAATTATAGCTCAAGTCGTTGCGTGCCCCCCCACCAACACCAAATGCAGTACGTGTGCGATACGTACGTGCTGCAGTGCGTGACGCAGGCGCTCTTTGGTCCTCTCTTAGTGAGAACAGTGCTGACCCAGGAGTCAGGGAACAAAGTCTGCTTTTAGCACCATTGCTCAGCAAGTCACTACTGTCTCTGGCCTGTTTTCTCATCAGTTAACCAATGAAAGGAGTTGGACTGGCTGGTCTTCAGGGTCGTGTCTGAATCTGGTTAGCGCCGATCTGGCACCGCCACCGCGTGGTCATTCAGTCCACCTCTAAGCCCCCCTGAGCCTTGTCCTTTTGCCATTTTCAGGAAGCAAAAGTTTTCTTCTGTTCTGGATCCTGATTCTTTCATTTCTTTTGTAGGTTTCTCTTTGCTCCAGCATTTTCTTCTCTCCCAGATCTCTTTTATTAGCCTGCATTTCTTTCTGCTGATTAAGCAGGGATTGCCACTGTTTGGCTGCTCTGCTTCCACTGACCTCAGTGGGGAAAATTACACGCCGTAAATGGGAATTCTTTTCTCCCTCGGCAGAGAATTTTTTAAAAAACCCAAAACCCCAAAACTAGCTGCTGACAGTAAGACCGTTCTTCAGTGGTACAGAGAACAGAAGGAAGAAAACTGCACTGTAGGGTGTGAAGAAAGCAGACGGGACTATGAGCAGGGCATCGGCTCCTGATTTATCTATAAGAGCCGGTGTTTCCCCATAATTCCCAGGACCCGTCCTTCAAGAGATCAGGAAGGAAGGCGATGAGAAAGAAGGGCAAAAATGTGGAAAGTGCCCATTGAGTAACCATCTTACTTGTAAACTGAGAGAGGTTATGATGATTTAAAGTGCATCAAAGTCGACCACATATAAAAATGTGTCTCATGTATCTAAGTAGATTTCAGAAAGTTCGTAGGAAATTCTTAAACTCCTGATTGCTGCTGGCTAGGTGAACCATAAAAATGCTACATTTGAAAAACAACATGAAAGAAGCGTTTTAAAGGTGGAAGACAAAGAACCAATGTCCTATGGCAGTAGATGCGCTTCAGGAATACAGGTCAGGGAAAAGAAGTCCGAGGAGGTGTTTCTGCAGATAAAACGTTCTGATGGTCAGTCAGGGATGGTTTAACAGGTTTAAAGGAAATATTGTATAGAAAAATCTCAATGTTTGGGGCGCCTGGGTGGCTTAGTCGGTTAGGCGACCGACTTTCGCTTAGGTCATGATCTCGCGGTTTGTGGGCTCGAGCCCCGCGTCGGGCTCTGTGCTGACTGCCAGCTCAGAGCCTGGGGCCTATTTCAGTCTGTGTCTCCCTCTCTCTCTGACCCTCCCCCGCTCACGCTGTCTCTCTCCTAGAAATAAATAAAAACATTTAAAAAAAAAAAAAAAGAAAGAAAGAAAAATCTCAATGTCCAAAAAGGCCTGTTAGTTTTCTTTTTTTTAAATTAGAGATGGAGTTAGTTAGTTTCTTGAAACTAGTGGTATAAATAAATACTGTGTTTTGTTCTGAAACGCCCACCACTATGGGGAGTTCTTCAAGGTTAAATGACCGACAAGACCAGCGCATTTTATTCTGAGCGATGGCTCGGGTAAGGCGGAAGACCGTGTGCTTGCTGGGCAAAGAAGCGGTTCTGTGGGCCCAGGCTGGCACCCCCACCAGCCTAACCAAGGAACGCTCACCGCCGGACCCTGACAAAGTCCAGGTCCACCCCGACTCTTATAACTCCGTTTCATCACTTGTCAGGTGTTGGAGGAAAGAATGAAATTCTGCCCGGGAAAGGTGGTTTCAGGGTTTAAATGTGTAGCGGCAGACAAGGGGAGTTTAGTGAAAGTGGAAAATCATCTGTATTTGATACAATCTGTTTTTCTCAGAAAAAATCATCAAAATTTGGAATTAAGCCATAGAAGTATGGCTGTCTGTGTGTGGTTTTATATTGTTTTGTTTTCCTTTATAAGATTTCATTTTGTTTGGGTGCTAGAGCCATAGAAAGAAGAAATTCTTTAAAGAGGCTAGTTTCAGGGATGCCTGGGTGGCTCAGTCCGTTAAGTGTCCAGCTCTTGATTTCTACTCAGGTCATAATCTCACAGTTTGTGAGTTCAAGCCCTGCCTCAGGCTCTGTGCTGACAGTGTGGAGTCTGCTTGGGATTCTTGCTCTCCCTGCTGTCTCTGCCCCTCCCCTGCTCAAATTCTCTCTCTCTCAAAATAAATTTTAAAACTTAAAACAAATTTTTAAAAAAGAGGTTAGTTTAAATAATCGTGCTCCACCAACAAGATAGGAAAAGGCCTACAGTTTATGGTGCACACATATATTTTTTCAGAGTAAACATCCCCAGTCTAACCCCCACACCCCCAATTTGATGTTTTAACATCCTCGCTTTACTGTTTCCAGTGAGAGCTAAAGGAAGGTTTTGTATTCTCAGACATGCATTTCAATTTCTCATCCCCACAGACTTGGAATATGTATTTAATACTTGAGTTGTTAATGTAAACTTTGGAGCTTTGGGACACCCTGGACACCCTACTGGCTCAGTCAGCAGAACGTGTGATTCTTGATTTTGGGGTTGTGGGTTCAAGCCCCACACTGGGTGTGAAGATAACTTAAAAAGTAAATTACTTAAAGTCAATCTTAAAGGGGTGCCTGGGTGCCTCATTCAGTTAAGTGTCTGACTCTCGATTTCAGCTCAGGTCATGATCTCACACTTGTGGGATCAAACCGGTATTAGGCTCCACACTGAGGGTGGAGCCTGCTTGGGATTCTCTCTCTCCCCCTCTCTCTGTGTCCCTCCCTACTCATTCTTTCTCTCTCTCTCTCCCTCAAATAAATAAACATTTAAAAAAAAAAAAATCTTGGGGGTCCCGGGATGGCTCAGTCAGTTAAGCATCCAACTTCAGCTTAGGTCTTGATCTCACAGCTTGTGAGTTCAAGCCCCACCTTGGGCTCTATGCTGTGACAGCGCAGAGCCTGGAGCCTGTCTCCGATTCTGTGTCTCCCTCTCTCTCTCTGCCCCTTTCCTGCTCATGCTCTGCCTCTCTCTCTCTCTCTCTCTCTCAGAAATAAAAATAAGTATATTTTAAAGAATTAAAAAAATTTTAAAATCTTAAATGAAAATAAAATTTCGAGTTTTGGTTAAAACTTGGATTATGTATCTAATTTCTCATCCACTCCCTCCCCATCTCAAACTTTGAAATGGAAAAACAAAATGTTATTTATTCAAGGTAACTTTATACAGTTATTCAGGAAAAAAATATATATATATATCTATATCTCCATTAGATGATATTAACTATATGTAGATTGTTTATTTCCAAAATGGTTAAGTTACTGACATACATACCATCTACATAGGTAAAATGTTCTATACATTAAAGTTAACTACAATAGCTAGTAAATAGATCACTGTTGTATCATTTTTTAAAAATAAGTTCCAGCCATGCACATGGGCTGAGCAGATTTCAGGTAGGTCCTGAATAAAAATAAAAATCGGCGACCAGTTGCATTTAATATATTTCATCATATGAAGAAAAACAAAAGCTGGCGTTCCATAGAAAGGATGGAAAATCAGCTAAAAAGCAAATTACAGTATTTATAACAGGTCTTCAGGTGGGGGTGGCAGGGATTCACTATAGGCTTCACCAGAGTCCAGAGGAATGGAGAACTCCTGATCCTGGATCTCATTGTTGGGACCTTGCTGGCTTTCCATGAAATCTCCTGGTGCTGGGGGAAAGTGAAATGATGAGTCGGGCGGAGGTGGGAATGATTGTTCAGACTCAGGATTATAATCTTCACAGACTTGATTGAGACAGTCCAGAGATGGTGGGAGATTGGTGGTATCATTTGGAAGAGGAGATGCAATTGTCATTGTGGGTTTATCAGATTGGTTACTCCCCTGTCCTTCCAAATCAAGAAGTGGGGGAGGAGGTGGGTAATCTGCATCATCTGAAGAAGAAACAGCAGTGCCAATGGTTGATCCCCCAGCACTCTCCTCTGATGTGCCATTTACCTGATCTTTTATTTTCTCTGTTTTGGCGTGGTTGGAATCTCCAACGTGTTCACTCGATTCAAACAACTTAATTTCTAAGTCATCTGCTAAGAGTGTGTTTTTGCTTGGTTTCCAGGGCATGAGTGAAACAATTGATGTCCTTTTTGTGGGTGCTTCGTTTTCTCTAAAGTTATCCAAATATATGTCGGGGGTTTCACCATCGGCAAAGGGAGACCTACCTGCCCAATTCTGATCACTTGAAACCGGTTTTCTAAAGCATTTCCATAGCACAATCATGATTATGGCTACCAACATAGAAGTCAGAATTACACCCACTAATATGGCGGCTATTGAATTAGAATTGGTTTCACGTGGGATAGTTGTGTTACTGGTAGTTTCTAGGATGAATCCTGGAGTAATCCTCTGTGAGGTTTTGACACTTGGTGTTGTTTGTAAAGCTGGATTATGAACAGTCGATGGTGTTGGTTTTCCAGAAGAGTTGTGGCTAGATGATGGTTGATGAGTAGAAGTAGAGAGAAACGGCGGCAGTTGTGTGGGAGAAGTATGGGCAGATGGTGGTAGTTGTCTGGCAGAAGTAAGCACAGGTGGTACTGTTGGTCGGGAGGAGTCATTGGCCATCAGCATTGGTTGTGTGGTGATGTTAGAGGCAAGTGGTTGCCCAGCAGAAGTGTGTGCTGCTGGCTTTTCAGAGGAAGCATCAGCACCTGGTGTGGAGTGTCCGGCAGCAACTTTGGCGGTTGATATGGGTTGTGCCGAAGAAACAGGGTTGAAATCTGTTGGTTGACTCAAAGGATTCCCTGTTGTGTTTTGAGAATTAGCTGAGACATACGGCCTTGAGGAACCAAATACAGTAGACTCTGTTGTAATATCTTCTGCCTCTAAGAGAAATATATCATTGAAGTGCCCACAAAACAAAATTAAGATGAAATCCTTGGGATCCATTTCAGAACGTTTCCTTTTCACCAGTGGTTTTATGATGAAAGAAAGAAAGACATATTATTTGGTGTCTGGCACAAAGTAGGTAGGTACTTGATAAGAGTTTACTGTTTCAGGGGCGCCTGGGTGGCTTAGTCGGTTAATCGTCCGACTTTCGCTTAGGTCATGATCTCGCGGTTTGTGGGTTCGAGCCCCGCGTCGGGCTCTGTGCTGACTGCCAGCTCAGAGCCTGGAGCCTGTTTCAGTCTGTGACTCCCTCTCTCTCTGACCCTCCTCTGCTCACGCTGTCTCTCTCTCTCTTCTAGAAATAAATTAAAATATTTAAAAAAAAAAAGAGTTTACTGTTTCTAACTGAGACTTCATACACTATAGTGGAAATAACCGTTGAATACATCCTAATGTAACCATACAACATTTGGACTTCACAGGCCACCATCTCTCTTCATTCTTTCATAGGATCTGTACTTGGCCCTGCTACCCCTTTAGCTTCATTACTTTATAATCCTTCATTTCACGTCATACTTCTTAAATACGTCGGCTCTGTGTGCTGGTTCCATATGCTCTCTACTTTTTTCTTCCTTGCTACTGGAAATATACCAGTCCTGTTGCTTCGGAGGACACCAGTAATCGTCTATTACCTAACCCAACAGTCTTTTTCTTTCCTCCCTCTCTTGACCACATTTGACACTATTGACTATGCCTTCGCTACTATTCAGGTAGCTCTTTGTGATATTCTTCCTTTCTTGTTAATCTCACAAGCTCCTGATTTTCTCTTCTCAAATATGGGTACTCGGTATTCAGTCCTCACTCTTACCTGCTTTTCTCTGATCCTGAAGCTATAAACTTTCAGCTCTCGCTTATATGCCCTAACTCCCAAACCTGCACGTCCAGCCTAAATCTCCTGAATTCTGATTGCATTTCCATGACTTTTTGGTGAACGTCTCCATGTATACATCCTACTGTCAGCAAAGTTAACAAACTTAAAACAATTCATCTTCACCATCTTCGTGTCAAAACTGACTCCTCTCTTCTCTGTTTTCATTAATGGTATTACCTTTGTTAAGTTCTTTATGCACAGAGTCTAATGTGTTAGGATTCTCTGCAGCATCCTCTGAGCCTAGCACTGTGCCATTAGTTTAGGATCTCGTACTCTTAAAGGAGTCCGCTCACCTCAGAATCCTAAGTGATCTTTGACTGTGATCGGGTCAGTTCTGTCCAATTGGCTAATGTTGTCTTGCCGATGCTTTCATTCATTTATCGATGAACACTGTGTGTCAGGCCTGTTCTAGGTTTGAGAGATACCCTTCCCCACCACCAACATATAGTTTCTAGTGGTGGAAAGAAGTAATAATTATAATAATTTAGTAAGTTTTCTCATAAATGTATGCAAGAGATGCACAGAGGAGCTAACATAGCCTGGGAGGTCTTCAGGGAGGGTTTCTCAGAGAAGTAAAACTCGAACTGCATTTTGAACAGTTCTCTAGGAATGAATTAAGCAAATGAAATATTCCCATCAGGGAAGCAACATATGGACATGGGAAGAGAAGGCACATGTGTAAGCTTGGCAGGCAGGGCTTTTTGTGGGATGTGGTAGATGGTAAAACTTCACAAGTTAAGTTCCTGGTCTACTTCCAGCATGTAACTCTCCATCTAACCGTGAGAACTAGTCATTTCATCCCTCCTGCTCTCAGTTGTTGGATCTCTAAAGTGAGGAGTTAACACCAAGATCGTTTTCAGCACTAGGTGTAAACACCTGTTTTGTATGTCATTCAACACAATGATAACTATTTGGTTGTTTCTTAACATTAGGGAAAGGAACATCTCAGGGTGTTAGATCCTGGTATATATGATTAGAAACTATAGTTTTTCGGGGCACCTGGGTGGCTCAGTTGGTTAAGCAGCCAACTTTAGCTCAGGTCATGATGTCACAGCTCGAAGGCTCCTGAGTTCGAGCCCCGTGTCAGGCTCTGTACTGACAGTTCAGAGCCTGGAGCCTGCTTCGGATTCTGTGTCTCCCTCTCTCTCTGCCCCTCCCCTGATCACACTCTGCCTGTCTCTCTCTCTCTCTCTCAAAAATTAAATAAACATTCAAAAAAATTTTTTAAAAAGAAACTATAGTTTTTCTATGACCTCTAGGCCAATCAGAGAGAGATGTGGTGTTCTATGCAAAGTACAAAAACAGAAGAGGAACGCCCTGACATTTTGCAGATAAATAACTTTTCAGCATATTGGAATACTTTTCGTTACTTAACTCCTCTGTCACTTAGTACACACTGATGGTAAATTACCCTGTTTTAGTGGAAGACATGTGATTTTTTTCTCTCTGTACGGTCTCTTCCTTTTTATTTTCTAATACTTCAAGCGGAAATTAAAATGTTTGTCCTCTGCACTGTCCTGCACTCGTTTGATCATAAAAGCATGTATAGACATGTACTGCTTGCTTGCAGGATCCCCGTTGCCATCAAAACAAAAATCCTAAACTGAGTTTTTTTCTGGTTTGAATTTACCAATCCTGAGTCCTATCTCAAGACTGAAACTTCTCATTCAGCCAAATCCACCTCTTCCTATTTTATGTACTTTCCAGACAAGTGCTTTTTCCCCTAAATAGACACTTTTAACTACACTGTTTCTCACCCTCTTAGTGTGTGTTCTTCCCCCCACACCCCCTAAGCCCAGCCTCTTTTCAAATCTGAACCTGCACTCATTGGTCAGACTTCAGCTTAAATCCCCCTTCTTCTTCTTCTTCTTTTTTTTTTTTTCAACTTTTATTTATTTATTTTGGGAGAGAGCATGAGCAGGGGGAGGAACAGAGAGAGAGAGAGAGAGAGAGAGAGAATCGAAGCAGGCTCCTCACTGTCAGCACAGAGCCTGACGTGGGGCTCAGTCTCACAAATCATGATATCATGATCTGAGCCATAATTAAGAGTTGGATGCTTAACCAACTGAGCCACCCAAGGTGCCCCTTAAATTCCCCTTCTTAAGCCAAGTTCTCTGGACCACAGTCCAGACAGATCAGCCATTCTCTGAATTCTTCTAGTTCTTGTCATCTTTATGGTTCCTTAGATAATTATTCATGTTCGCACCTCACTCACATCTTTATTCTCTTAAATAATTGTGTTTATTTTTTATTACTTTTAACTGATCACATTTTATTATCCCCACCTGCTCAAATAAGAACCTTGAAGAAGGCAGAAAAGAAACCAAGAAAAATATTTATCTGGAACATAGCTGTTTAACCTTTAAATGACTCTATGAGGAAGATGGTGGAATCCTTGACTTTACAGATAAAGAGACAAATTCACATGTGTTTGCCCAGCGTCAGGGCGCCTGGGAGGTTCAGTCGGTTAAGTGTCCGACTTCAGCTCAGGTCATGATCTCACGGTTTGTGGGTTCGAGCCCCACGCAGGGAGGGCTCCGTGCTGACAGCTTGGGGCCTGGAACCTGCTTCAGATTCTGGGTCTCCCCCTCTCTCTCTGCCCCTCCCCTGCTCACACCCTGTTTCTCTCTAAAAAATAAGTAAACTTTTACGAAAACCACTTAAAAAAAAAAAAGAGTTTGCCCAGTGTTATGTCACTGTTAGGGACAGATTGGCATTTGTACCCAGGACCATCTGATTCACAAGCACATGTTCTTTTTACTGCCCTAAACCACCTCAGGGTTTCCATCTTGATTCCTTTCCAGCAAAGAGCCGTGTGTGTTAGGAGCGTAGTGAGGACCTAACCCGTATTGGCTTCATGGTTCCTTTCCTTTTCAGCTTTTCACTATTAATACTTCTGCCAGAATGTAAGCAGAGAAGATGAACTCTAAGTTATTAAATTACCCATTTCACAAAGGGCTTAATAGAGAAAGAAATGGAAACTTTTAGCATAAATATGGGGATTTGATATCATTTTAGATGGTTCCCGTGCACAGTTCCCACTTGCTCTTCTTACAGATTGCCACCCCCCCCCCAAAAGTTATTCTTCAGAGTTTCACTTTGCTTTTTTAGAAAATGCCATCCAAAGCATTGGAAAATATAGGCTGTGAATTGGCTTCAGCCAGAAATGTTTCCTCTTTCGTGACTTCACTTAAAATGTTTTAAAAACCCACATGGTTCCTCTTTTCATTTAGCTGAAAAAGGCATTAGAGAAGGAAAAACCCCAAACAGGAACATAATTATAAGCCTATTTTAGTTTGTAAGATTAATTTTGAGAGGTTCATAGTTTCTTTGATCAATAGGAGGATCATAAAACGTTCACTACATGAGATCTTTTGCTTGTCATCTAAGGGTTACAGCAGTATCAAAACCAAATTCTGTTTTTTACCTATCTTATCTCTCTTTCCCAATCTTCAGTTAGCCGTCTGCCCTCCCGGCATCTGCTACATCAGAATGTTAGAATCTGTTAGAATTCTGCAGCAAATCAGAACAGTCCAGAAAAGAAAGAGTGGGATTTAAAAGAGGGGGCCTAGTAGTGAAGAAACTTTTAACTTTTCTAACGCAGAGAAGTGAAGGTGGCCGTTACTACCAGCACAGAAAGTTACTACAGAAACATATGTAGGTTTTTAAAAAAAATATAAACCAATAAAGAGTGCAAAGAAATTAAAAAAAATAGCACCAAAGAGAAAAATAAAGCAAAAATTAAAGGAAGCAGCAAATACATGGAAAAGGAGAAGGTCAGTGGACTAGAGAAAGTATTGAAAAGTTACGAAAAGTTGAAGAAAAAGTGGTGGTTATGTAACTAGCAAGAACGTAGGGTCGATGATTAGAGTGGGCAAAATGAGAAAGAAGTTGGGGGAGACATTGAAGCGGATGAAGGAGAGTGCCACCAAGTGCTGTCCTCTGTCACTGGCCTGTATCTGCGGAAAGACCTGCCTTCCCGAGATGGAGGACATGACTCACCCGACTTCTCAAACACACTTGTCTTTCATTTCACGTTCCTCTGTCTGTTCTAAGGATCCTTAAGATCCTTTTGACATTTTTTCCCTGACACTGTTCAGAAGCATACCTGCTCATTATTCAAAAGAATCCATGCACATAGCATAGCAT